TGGGGAATTCTGGGAGTTGAAGTCTACCCATCTTAAAGTTGCTGAGGTTGAGGAACCCTGCTGTAAGGGACAGGTATTGATCCTGTGACGTTCTGGTCCTCTTGGACTCCAACGATTCTTGCCAGTGATGGGAATTGTAGTCCAGTCATTTTAGGCTCGCAAGTTCCCTACTTGTGCTGTTAAGGGACTCATTCCATCGTGGAGCCTTTATGGGGAGAAATGGTCAATTCTCTTTCCCCTCCGTGGTCAGCAGCTGGTAGAGCTGATGGCAGAGAGAACGGATGTGCGTTTTCAAGCTATGTGCTACCAACGAATGGAGAAAACCAGTCGTTAAGTGGGGATGGAGGGACTAGAACAAGGGCGTCCATGTTTGCTGAATTGAATACAGTAGAGTCTCATTTAACCGACCTTCGCTTATCCGACGTTCCGTCTTATCCGACGCCCCTAAAAAAAACACAACATGCATAAATTGGCGACGAGAAAAGTGAGCGGCTTGTTTGCGAGCGTGAGTGTACTTTCTTGTCGCTGCTGACGGTGGCGCCGCAACGCAAAAATTGATTGCAACAGGCGCAGCGGATCCTTTTTTTTTTTTTTTTTTAACGCCCCCAAACGTTTCTTTGGGTTTTTCCAAATTTTCGGTTATCTGACGTTCTGCCAGCCCGTTTATGTCGGATAAACGAGACTCTACTGTAGCACTTGTTTGGTTCTGGGAGTTCAGTTCTTCCTTCTTTCGAATGTCTTCCATCCGCTCTTGTGATTTGGAATGAAAAGTGCCTTCTCAATTCTTTGTACGGCCCGTTGTCCACAGCGGTGCTCCCCAAACTTGGCACCTTCCAGGCATTTGAACTACAACTCCCAGAATTCCTCAGTCAGCATGGCCGGTGTTGAGAATTCTCAGAATTGGAAGTTGGCCAGTTTAGGAAGTACGGATGTAGAAAAAGACAGTATAGTTGACAGTGTCGCTTCGGCTCACCTCGTCAGAGGCTGCAGTTCACAAAAGCTTCTCCCTTTGAATAAAATGTGTTAGTTGGAAAACTACCAGAGGCCTAAATTTGTTTTATAGGAATTGTTGTTGTTTAGTCGTTAAGTCGTGTCCGACTCTTCGTGACCCCATGAACCATATTGCGCCAGGCGTTTATTTATAGGAATACCACAGAATAAAGAAAGACATAGATGTTAAAATAAAGAGATGGTGTTTCAGCTGATAGGGAAGGGTGATAAAAGGGGAATATTGGGTTTTTTTTCACTCATCTTTGACATGCAGGCGCGTGCCAGATAGTTAATATTCTGCCTGGCGGTTTGACCCGCAACTCTAGTCAGAAGAGTGAAGGCAATAAATTGATTGATTGATCGACTGATTGCAAACATGGCTAAGGAAGTTGTAGCTTTGAAGGAATTCCTACAAAGGGAGAAAAATCACAGTTACATTCCTGGCTCCATTTCCAAGAATCGTGGCAGAGGGAAAACGGATGCAAATCACGCTCGCGTACGTATATTGACTAATTATATTTCCTGGACAGGCTCGATACCTGCGTGTGGCTTACTTATTCTCACATGGCAACATAGTTGGTGAACACCCCCATCCCTTATCTGAGTGTGGCACGACTCCCTCCCGGCACCGGTCCTGACATTTCGATCCCATATGTGTTTATTCCAAAGTAAGCTAATAAGGCTTCCTCCAAAAACTTACTCCTCTGGCTAAGAACACACGGTAATTCTCACAGAAATCAGTTCCCTAAGATAGACGGATGGCTGTATACGTTGGTTTCATGAATAAATGAAAGAACAGAAGTAAATGAGTTCTGTGTGAAACTGGAATGATATGCAACAAGAATAAAGCACTTTTCTGCATTCTTCCCATATGCGCAATGAAGAAGGCAAACATCTTGAAAAGGCTTCAAGTGATGCTTTCTCTTTGTATTTATGGGGGACCTGGAGCGGTAGAAAGGTTCCCCCGAAATCCAGCTCAATGCAGGGTGACTTCATGAACACATCCGTGTTCCTCCAGGGTGTTTCTTTGAACTTCCAAACCAGCCTCCAGCTCTGAGATGTCCTGTCCTATCCAGTTACCACCCAAATTTGAGTGTACTCAGGTTTCCGAGATCAGTGAAGGTCGGTCCTTGGTGCTACTCCCTGTTATGACTGGCTCCGTGGACAGAGCCATATTGTTTCCTTGCCTGCAGCGTCTGTACTTTGTATTTCTATGTGTCTCACCTCGGAATAAAACCTTGTTTAAACATAAGGTTATTTTCTGAATTCCACCGTACAGTTTCAGAGTGGTGGCAGTTTTGTGGAGATAACATAGAACTGCAGAACCGCAGGCTGAATTTACACAACAGACGTCTTTTGTTAATTTCCCACTTATGGGCAATTAAGAGCATCCCCTTTACAGGGTCAGAGAGGTAGGTAGGAAACCAGACCTGGAGCCCTGGTAGATTCAAAAGCTCCATCTATGGTGCTTCTCTACCTTGGTGTCCCCGTGCAGGCGTATTCCCACTGGTAGAGCGGTGAGGATTTTTCTACTGGTGACAGCTGTTTAGCTTTTCTGGAGGGGGGTGGTTGGTGTTCCAAAGGTCTCCATTGCATACTGAGGCTGTGTTCCCAAAGGAAATTTAATATTTATTTTAGTATGTCATTTAATTGCTGCCCAGCTCCATTATGACTCTAGGCGGCATGCAGTGTACAAAATGTAAAACAACCCACGCAACATGAAATTTTAAAAAACATCCGGAGAAAAACACTGCCATTCTCACAAATCACACAACCCACAAGGGAAAGCCCATCATGTCCAACATCTGAGAAGCAGCCAGGTTTTAAGAGTTCATCTAAATCAGTATTTCTTCACCTGAGCGAGCAGCTTTAAGATGTGTGGACCTCGACTCCCAGAATTCCCCAGCCAACGTGATCTAAATAAGCCCAGGTTGGAGGCTGTATGGATTTCTAGGGGGTATCTTTGCAGGTCCCATCAGGGCCCAGTGCTTAATCAGTGGGACCTGGGGCACGCTGACTGTGCTGGATTGTATGGGGTGGGCAGACGGTCCCTCCAATAACCAGGTCCTGGTTGTTGCCATGAAGGACATTATAGATCAGTGTTTTTCAAACTTGGCAACTTCAAGATGTGTGGACTTCAGCTCCCAGAATTCCTCAGTCAGCACTGAAAAACACTGTTGTAGATGATAACCACTACTGTGAATTGCACTGGAAGCCTGCTGGCGGCTATCACAGCTCTCAGAACAGAGGTGTTACACAGACGTAGTGAGACGTGCTGATCACTCCCTGAGTCACTGCATTCTGGACCAATTCTGGCTTCCAGGGGGTCTTCAAGGGCAGCCCCATGTAGAATGCATTGCAGCAGTCCATGTGTGAGGTTAAGCAGCCAGGTTGGGCCATCAAGGGAGGAAATCACTGTAGTTTCTCTGCACAACACAGCTGGGAGAGCGGCTAAGGGCACAGCAGTGAAACCCAGATGTGGGCCAGGGTTCCTCCAGGAGACAAGGCAAGAGGTTATGGATTTAAATGATAAAGAGATTTTGGGCTGGACATTAAGAACATCTATCTAGTGGGAAAAGTGACTAGTGCAATGTTTCTCAACCTTGGCAACTTTAAGACGTGTGGACTTTAACTCCCAGAATTCCACTGGCTGGGGAATTCTGGGAGTTGAAGTCCACACATCTTAAAGTTGCCAAGGTTGAGAAACACTGCACTAGAGCCACTGAGTGCCAGTTTGGTCCAGTGGTTAAGGTACCAGGCTAGAAAGCAGGGGATGGTGAGTTCTAGTTCCGCCTTAGGCATGAAAGCTGGCTGGGTGACCCTGGGCCGGTCACTCTCTCTCAGCCCAGCCCACCTCACAGGGTGGTGGTTGTGGGGAAAACAGGAAGAGGCAGCTGTATTAAATGTATGTTCATTGCCTTAAGTTATTTATAAAAATTGTAAAGGCAGGATAAAAGAATCTAAAAAAAAAGCTTTTCAACAACAGAATGGTAGATGGTGGACTCTCCTTTGGTGGTGGTGTTTAAACAGAGGCCAGATGGTCATCTGTTGCGGATGCTGCCAGGCTAGGTTTTCCTGCACTGGGTGGGGGGTGGACTAGATGGCCTCGAATGTCCTTCCCAACCCTGATGTTCTCCGATTCTATATAAGGAATAATTTCCTAAACGTCAGGGCTATTCAGCCATGGGAGAGACTTCCTCAGGAGGTGGTGGACTCTCCTTTGCTAGAGGGGGTTTAAACAAAGGCCATCTTTTGGAAATGCCGTAGGGGTAGTTTCCTGTACTGGTTCAGGGGGTGGGCTAGGTGATCTCTAAGGTTCCTTCCAATCCCTACATTCTTAGATTCCATTCTCCCCTCCCAATCAAACAGTCTTTGTCCATGAGGTCGCCCTTCTCTGTCCCTCCCATCCCATATAATGAATGTGGCCAGGCGCTGGTGGTAAGTACCATCTGAAGATACACCTTCGGTTGGTACAGCGATAGAATTGCGTTTCGGATGCCAAACTCTATTTAGCTTGCTGAGGGATTTCTCTTCTTCTTCTGCCCCTGAATGGATCTCTGGTGCGCAGCAAGAGGCAGAGGATATTTTCCAAGGTGGAACGGATCTTCCAACAGGCGCTCCATGTGAGGACATCTGCCTGTCCTTCTCCAACCTCAAGGCACAGCTCCAGGGCTGGTTGAAAGTTAGGAAATTTGCGGATGCGATGGCTTTAGAATCGTTGTCCTTCCTTTTTTTTCCTTTAAAAATGCAAAGATGTGGCTGGACAGCTTTTTTCCAGGCTGGAGATGCAGAGGTGAGTGAAAACCACTGCCAATCTCAACAGCCATGGACCTCGCTGGTGGAATAGAAGTCAACTCACGGATGGCCCAGTAAAGCTTGGAAGGTGGGTTTGAGTCGCCGTTGGAAAACACAAAATTTACCTTCCTACTGGCTGTCTTACTTTCCTCTTGGAGAACCCCTCCAAATAGGGATAAACTAATATTCAACTAATCACTTGCATATTCCTTGCTCCAATTTCCTCCTCCTCCTCCTCTTGTTCTTTCTCTAATACACTGCTGCTACATTGCTTTGCAGGTTTTAGTTTTTAATCTATCTTCTTTAACAAGGGGCAGCCGCTGGCTGACATTTTTTAATCAGAAAAACATCAAAGTGGGGTCAAGCCTTTTACTCCATGGATGGGAGGCCACTAGGAAATAATCTCAAGACTATAGGTTTGACAGGAAAAATGAAAAAGAAAAAGAAAATCCCAGAAGAATGCGGGTAGTGGAAAATCACTTTATTTCCAAGAAAACAATATGGAAGTCCCTGAAATCACAAGGGGTTGAGTTTGATGGAGTCCTGGCCTGTCACAGGAAGCAGCAAGATCTAGCTGACTTTGAGGCTGCTTAAAAAGCGAAACTCCCAGAGCTGTAGGCTAGACTGGGAAGATGATAAATAGATAAATCTGAGAAGGAAATATGGCAAGCCACTTCCGTATTGCTACTGAGAGGAGAGCATGGGGGTATCCGCAGATGCTCCAGCAATCACATTCAACTTTGGGCTCTAGCCGCCTGCTTTTCAGGCTGCAGCCTGCCATATCCAAAGCAAGCTTAGCTAGACTGCTGCAGTTTTTCAGTGATGGGTCTGGCCCTCTGAAACGACCTCCCGTTGGAAACGCGCTTGTCTCCAACATTGTCCGCCTCCCGCCCAAAGCCGAAGACGGAGCTTTGATGCCATGAATTTTGTTTGGGTTTTGTTGGTTTCACCTTTTATATTTATTGTACATTTATTTAGCTATTCATTTATTTTATTGAATGTATTATAGCTGCCCACTCCAGCAGACTCTGGAAGGCTGATTCCTTGTTAGCCACTGAGTCTTGTGATTGTGGCTGCACAAACATTTGACTAATAAAAATAGATTGATTGGGCATTTCCTTTGGAATGTGGAGGTGCCCCCCGCCCTGTCCGCTAGACCCAAATGGCAGCCCCTCTTCAAGAAGAAACAAGCTGGAAGAGAAATGTTTCTAGTACAGCTGGCTAGGGACTACATACAGTAATGACGACTTGGGGGGGGGGTCATGATATAACTTTAGAGGGGGTGGTTAAAGTATATAACTGCTGTGAAGAATATTGGAAGCCACTCCTTTATATCTTTCTTTTTTCTACTTTTTCTATTGCATGTTTAGCTTTTCTTTTTCTTTCTTTCCTTTTCCCTGCTTTATTTTAGTTTGTATTAGTTCTCATTATTGCTGTTAAATCTAAATAAAAATCATATATATGCATATATGTGTGTGTGTGTGTGTATATGTATGTACTGTATGTATGTATATGTATATAAAGCTGGAATATTAACTGGAAGGGGGTTCAGCTGAGCCAAAGGCAGGGTGGGGAGACATAAGACAGCCAGGAATATGAAATGCCAGACTAGGAACAGGGAGACCCAGATTCTGGTCCCTTCTTAGCCCTGGAGGCTCTGGGCTAGCCCTCCCTCTCAGTCCCAGAGCTAAAGTTGGGTAGTAAGAAAGGTGGTTGCCATGAGCCATGATTCAGAGTCTGACTCTGAATCCGATTCCGACAATGTTGCTCCAGCTGAGCCTGTGGAACGTCAGCCTCAGGAATCATTAAGCCATGATGCATCTGAGGCTGATCAGTCACAGGCATCTCCTGATCAGCTGGAGCAGTCAGTTGACGGGGCACGGCCCCCAGGCCCCAGATCCAGATGCACACAGAGGCGAGCAGAGCAGGGTCAATCAAGGAGACGCCTCGCAGGGCACAGGGTGAGGCGTCACATCACTGCAGCCAGAGATTGAAGGAACTTGCTTTGCCTTCACTCTCAGTTGGAAAACCACCATTTGAAAACGTAGCTCTTGTGTGTATCCTGTTCTTGAATTCCTGACTTCTGGACTGGATGACCACCTGATTTAACTAGACTCCTCTTTTGCTTCTCGGACTCCAAACGGTACTTTACTTTGCTAAGTCTTTGTTTTGCAACTTGGCTGCTGTTACCTGCTTCTGCTCCTTGGCAACTGTGTCTGCTCCCTTGAAACAGAACAGTGATGGACTAGGAGTAAGGAAGGCGGTGGACTCCCTCCCTCTCAGCCCAAGAGACGTGTGGGGTAGTGGTGAAGGTGCTAGACTAGCTTTTTTGACTCCTGTAGTTGAGGTAAGCCTTTGATATGGTTGGGGGATACTTGTGGGACAAAACAGAAAGTTATTAAGGATCCTGTGATCTTTGGGGCACAAAAAATCAATTTGGTGCCCACCAACAGTTCCCAAGCTGCTTGCCAGATTTCCTCTATCCCGTAAAAACAGAATTTAATTTTCCTGCCCTCACTCTTCCTGTTGTGCTAGCCTGGCTTTAAAAAAACGGCCAGGCATTCAAATAAACGGCATTTCTAGGCATTGCAGATGTTTTTTGTATAAAAAGAACAAGCCTGTAGTTTCCCCCCCTTTTTAAAAAAAGCATGATTCTTATTTTTATTGAATTATTAGTCCCATTCTTACAACTTTGGTGCTTTGCTGCTTGAGGGTGCATCGTTACATAAATGTAGATAAGCAAAAGGTTTCTTTTCTGCACTTTTCACCTCCCTTGAAATTGTTTCCAAAAAAATATAGGTGCAGAATCCAAAGAAACATGGACTTTTAGGATCTGTAAACATCCAAGAGATGACTAGCACTGTCCAAATACAGTGGAACCTTGGTTTACGAACTTAATTCGTTCCGTGACTCTGGTTGCAACCCGAATTGGTCGCAACCCG